ACAAGTCATGAGCGACTAAGAAATTCGGATACAAGTCTACTGAACACTAAATCCGACACAATATTTATAAAAACATGAAAATGATAAGATAAGGGAGGCACGGGGCTGCGAACGCCAACAACTATCTCGTAGTCTTCGAATCACTGCTTGGACTGGGAGAATCAACACTCAAGAGCGGACTCTGCGATGCCTAAATCTGCACACATGGTGCAGGGAGTAATGTGAGCACTCCGACTCAGTGAGTAACAATTATATATAATGGCTGAAAGTATGAAAACACGTAAAGGCACAAAGTAATTCCATATCAAGCAGTAGAATCACTTAAAGCAGTAAATCAGTGAAGAAATCAAATGATATCCCTTTTTAAAACAAGTAAAACAGGTAAATAACAAGTAGAAATCTTCCCCTCGGGCACAGTATCAATCGCTCAGAACAGTATCAGCCCCTCGTGCTCACTCTCAGTATAGTATCAGCCCCTTGGGCTCAGAATCAATCACTCAAAACAGTATCGGCCCCTCGGGCTCACTCTCAGATCATAATGGGTACCCGCACTCACTGTGGGTGTGCAGACTCCGGAGGGGCCCTTTATGGACCAAGAGCTATATCAAGCCACCTCATGGCATCATCACTCGGCATCGGCCTCACATCACTCGACACTCGGCCTCACATCACTCAAGCCACCTCGTGGCACATAAAGTATCACAGGCCCTCGGCCTCATATCACTCAGCATATCCTCACAAATGGCCCTCGGCCTCACTCAGTACAAAAATCATCACAAGCCCCTTGGGCATTAGTAAAACAGTAGTTCTTAGCCCAAAACATGATGTAGAAATATCATTTAAGTTTCAAATCTGAGTAAAAGTGGCTGAGTGTGTAAAACAGTAGATATCAACAGGACTGAGTTCAAATAATAAGTCAAGCAGTGAGGAAACAGTGATAAAAATCCCCGAAGGGTCCAAATAGTTAGCACGAAGCCCAAATATGGCAATCAACCTAAATCATGATGATAACAAATAAATTTCAGTCAAATACGCGGTAAAATCATCAATCGGGACGGACCAAGTCACAATACCATGTAGTAAAAGACCCCACACTCATCATCCAGTGCGTGTCTCACCTCAATATGGCACTACAATGTGCAATCCGGGATTCCAAACCCTCAGGACATCATTTGCAATCATTACTCACCTCGAACCGGCTAATTCTCTAGCTCGCGACGCCTTTACCCCTAGAATTGGCCTCCACGCGCGTCGAATCTATCCAAAATCAGAACGAATACGTCACAATATGCTAAGGGAACAAAGCCCAAGCGAAAACATTCGAAAAATATCAAAAATCCCTATATTAGCAAAATCCGAGCCCCAGGTCCATATCTCAGAATCAGGTAAAATTTACATTTTCAGAATCCTCATGCCCTCACGAGTCTAACCATACCAAAATTATCCAATTCCGATACCATTTGGTCCTTCAAATCATCATTTTATATTTTTAAAAGGTTTCACAATTTTCTTCCCAAATTCTATTCCAAATCATGAATTAAATGATGAATTCAATGATAGATTCATGTACTATAGCCAAATCTGAGTTAGAATCACTTACCACGATGAATTTCTTGAAAAACCTTTGAAAAATCGCCAAAATCCGAGCTCTTTTGGTCAAAATATTAAATAAAACCCAAAACCTCGTATTTATAGAGTACCCCTCAGATCTCAGCCTCCGCGGGCCGCACCAAATCGACCACAGTCCGTACAAGCCAGTGCGGTCCGCGCAAAAACAACCGCGGCCGCACAGGCCTTCCTCTGCAGTGACAAGCTTTAGTATTTTGGCCATAACGTTTTCTATAGACGTCCATATTTCTATATCTTTACCTTTCGGGAAACTAGATACAAAGGGCTACAACTTTCGTTTCTGAATTATCTCGAAATTACTTGTAGATCAAAAGATATGAGCTTCCGAAGTAGGACTAGCGAATCATTTCCAACCGCGGCCGCACACCATTTTGTGCGGTCCGCATGGAACCTACCACGGACACACTTCTTTTTGTGCGGTACGCACAGAACATACCGCTGCCGCACTTCTTTTTGTGCGGACCGCGTGGGTGGTTTTCGAGGCTTGCAACCCTCCTGGACCTGCTACAGCTATGACTTTCGGCCTAAAACATCCCGGAACCTACCCGGGACCCCCGAAACTTCAAACTAATTTTACCAACGTATCCCATGACATCGTTCAAACTTGTTTAACACTTCGAAATGCTTACAACAACATCAAATCACCAATTAAACATAGGATTCATGCCTAAGAACTCCAAGAACTCTTAAATTATGCTTTCACTCAAAAGGTCTATCAAATCTCGTCCAAACGACTTGAAATTTTGCACACACATACCAAATGACACAACAAAGCTACTACAACTCTCGAAATTCCATTCCGACCCTTATATCAAAATCTCGCCTATCAACCAGAAATTGCCAAAATATCAATTTCGCCAATTCAAGCCTAAATCTTCTCTACAACTCCAAAACCCATTCCGATTGCGCTCCTAAGTCACAAATCACCTACCGAAGCTAATCGAACCATCAGAACTCACATCCGAGCCCTCTAACTCATAAGTCAACATCCGGTTGACTTTTCCAACTTAAGCCTTCTTGAAAGAGACTAAGTGTCTCATTTCTAACCAAAACCATACCAAACGCAAACCAATCAACTCGACCATATAAAACATGAATAACGAATCATAAAGAAGCAGAAATGGGGGAAACAGAGCAGTAACTCATGAGACGACTGGCCGGATCGTCACATTAAGGTCTTTTCAAGGCTTGGGAATGAGAAAAGGAAATAAGCTAAACTTCTGTAATAACCTGTGTTGTAATCTGAAAAAAGCATCTAAGCTTCAATAACTATGGATGAAGATGGTTTGCTTACATTATTTAATTCTGAATTACAATACTAACTATGAAATCCTACTCCTTAAATATCAAAAACACCTCTAGATGCAGGAAACAAATAAAACATCTCCAAGAGCAATCTGTAAGTAGACAATGACGAAAAAGTTCACCTACCAGTTTGTGTTAAGCAACAATTCAAATGAGGAGTATGTTACATAGTGCCAGCCCAAACAATAAATATTATTATAACCTAAGTTTCTTTGCTGGTAGAAGTTTAACATAGACATGTTATTCCATGCATAATGCTCAACCATTTTGTTCTATTTTGGAGCAGCAACGCATAAGGAAACAATTGGAAGACGTGCAATTTCCAAAGTAGGAACATATATGATGCTCTTTGTATCTTTTTTCACTTACATGAATGCAATGTTAAGAAAGAAATCGGTAGGCTTCAAGCCACATCAAAGAAGAGGAATAAGACGACAAAGGATCTAATACATACATAGTTGAAGTGAGCTACCAATTGTTTGTTTATATAAGCTAATTGTCACTAATACACTTCTATGTAATATAATTATCAATTTACGGTCGAATCAAACTTAACATTACTTAAGGATACTACTATCGGACTTATACTTAGTGTAATGTCAATCTATAATCTAGTTACAACTAGTACACTTACTAATTACTATAAGCGACAGAAAAAAGTCAGTCGGTATTGCTGCGTCGGTAAACCATTGTTTTTAGTAGTGTGTAGTATATATATATATATATATATA